CAGCAATACAACATTGACCATGACTATTAAGTTAGGACAGTGGCGAATCTTTTTTGGCTCGCGTGTCATAAAGGGGGGGAGCGCGGGGGGGGGGGGCAGGAGTGGCTTTTTTCTCCCTCCTCCTATTTATAGGAATAAAGCCTCTGGAGCCTGGGGAGGGTGAAAAAAGCATGTAAAAAATGGGGTGTGTTGCACCTCTCATGCGCTCATGCGCACTGTGGTGTGCGCATTGCATTATGGATGTGGCACGCCTGCCCACCCACCCCGCGCTCCCCCCCTTTATGACACGCGAGCCAAAAAAGATTCGCCACTGTCCTAACTTAATAGTCATGGTCAATGTTGTATTGCTGATAGGCCCATCTGGAACCTATCAACTATATACAACTTGGGATCTTTTCACCCCAGAAGGCTAATCATAGAGATACAGATATATATAGAGACAGACATATTCTGGCAACCTTTGGGATGATGGAAAAGAGTGATTACTTTATCTACCATATTCCCCATAACACACACACACACACACACACCATAATGTTTCTCCTGCTCAGAGCAACGTTTTGTTTATTGTTTCCTTTTATTAAAAGAGCTTTTTTTGTTTGAGAGAAAATAAATGTAGCATATAAAATGGAGGCCGCACCCTTTTGAGACACTTCCCTGTCTTTTGGACAGGTCCAGGGTCAAACCCAGCTCCTGTGTTTGCCTAATCCTATCAGATCCAACTGACCCTCCCTGCCCCCAGGGCTGCTGCAATCCCATCTAAAGCAAAGAATAAAAGCCTCCACAGCAGCCCATAGCACAAGGGCAACCATAAGAAAGGAATTGCAACATAGTGAAACCTCAACATCCACAATCAATCCCAGACAATCCTCTGATTACCTTAAGATTAATTTCCTTAACAAAGGGGTTCCCCAGCTCTGGTGCACTTCTGAAAAGGCTTAATAACAGAAATAATCTCATGTAGGAGCAGGTCCTGCTTCATTTCTCCCCCAAAAACTGCTAACAAATCAGATTCCTAGGATTTCCTACCTGCACCCTTCTAATTTCTATAAAATATATCTTTGCTTTCCTATTGTTCAGGGTTCCTCTTTCAGGTAAAGTTGGGCTTTAACAATTGTTCAATAAATGGCTGGTTATTTTTCCTCAGGGTTGTTCTCTTTCTTCTGGTAATAATGTGGCACATCAGGAAGAGGGTTATATTGAACTTTCCTCACTCATTGTCAATAGGTTTGTTACCTTGCATTCCCTCATTTTGTGAACCAGGTTTCCAGAAACAAGTATGGCCACCCCAAAGTGTAGCAGAGTTTTCTTCAGTCTTTGGTATCGTTTTCTGAAGTTTACAAAAAAAGAGTAAAGTTAGAAAACAAGATATAAGTGTGAGACTTTGAAAACCTCTGTTGGGTAAGGCCGCTATAACCCATAGGTGTCAGTAAATCTACCAGTTGACATCAAAAGTAATGGTTTCCTTCAATATTAGGAGCATTATACAGAGTGAGCCCTATCTGCTTGATCCTTGTTTCTTGACCTTGCCAGATGACCTCGGAAGTGAGCCTGGATCACTGTGATTTTCTTCCTGAAGACCTGGAACTGCTGACGGTTGATGAGCCCTCGTAGATAGCATTGGAGAGTGACAATCGCCCATGTCAACTTTTGATTTCGCTGCTTCTCTAGCATCTGCCATGTCTTTTCTTTCAAGAACACCTGAAAAAAAATAGTCAAAAGCACTGACAATAAAAAAGTGGGAGGTTACCTAACACATAGGTAACTTCACACCCTCACTGTCTTATTTGTCTAAAATAAGGGATAAGTGGGTGGGAAAGAAGTTGTTGTTTAATTAATTTTAACAATCTTTATTCATGATGTACGATGACTTAAGAAATCAATATATTTAGCTATATTCATGTCCATGGCATGTACATTTTATCATTTTGATTAATGATTTACCTTGGTCATCAAGGACAATAAAAGAAATAGAATACAATAAAACAATAAAAAAATATTTATAGCAATTACACCAGTAAATGGAGTATCCAGCAGTCACAGAAAAATCTTTGTCAAAAATATTTTTTTACCACTAGTCTAAGAGTTAAAACAAGTGACTAGTCTCACAATTATGTATTTCCATATGCAACATGGAAAAAGATATTCTTAAGAATGGGAGAAAAATGGATGCCACTATGCCAAGGAACAGAAGGAGAACCCAAATGTGACAAGAGGAAATCCTTTTCATTTAAAGCAAGCATACTAAAATATGATTGTGAGGCTCACTCTAAATTTTGGCAGTATGTAAGGGAATATCTATTAAGGAGGAGCCAGTGAAACCAATATCCATATTTCAGCTTTCTAAAGCCAAACAGTAAGCAGGCACTTAGACAATCTACCTTGGTGACTCCAATCTGATAAAGCTCTGACATATCTCCCACCACACGGGAAAGCACAGCAGCACAGCTATCTCTCTTCTGCAGGCAGCTGGGACCTTGGCCAGCCAGGGCTCCATACCTGAGACACACGGGGGAGGATAATGCTCACTTCCCAAATAACTCCAGTCTCACGAGATACAGTCAGAGAAAGTACACACAAGCCCAAGCACTTCAGAGGCAAATATCTCTTATCTGACCACTGCTTGGCTGTAGCTGTTTCTCCTCCTGACTCTCAAGGATATTCCCACAAACCATTGCAGATGTTTACTTTATGTGTCTGAGAGAATCCAAGATATCTTAGCGAGGGATGAGCGGGGAGAGGCTCCAATTAAGATAATTAAAGGCAGAGGAAAGTATATCATTTGCAGGAATAACCGCTTAGGTTATTTTCTTGTCTAGAAATGGACATTTTGCCCTTTTTCTCTGCCCTGCAGGTGCTGCTGCTAAATGTCAGGTCAATGAATAATAAGGTT